GGCCTGGTCATTGATGTGACAGTGACATCAGTGTTCACTTAAGAAGCTTTGGCGAGGACTCACCAGTTCTCCCGCGGTTAGGACTCCGCGCTCTCACTGCCGAGTGCCCGGCTTTGATCCCTGACGGGGAACTAAGATAGATCTCACCAGCTGCAAGGCTGGCTGCAAAATTTAAATAAATTTTAAAAACATGTGACCTAGACCGTTGGTACTAGCCAAGGCCTCGTTGCCTAATCAGTTGCTGATAAATCGGCCTCGCATTGATGAGACTCTGTAGGTGGAGGCTTCTCTGCTTTTACCATGCCGGCATTGAGGCAGACTCGCTCTGCTCCTGTCTCAGAATAGCTTCGTGAGTTGACAGAGATCCGCTCTGTAACCGCCACACACAGGGAGTACATGACCCGAGGTGGCTGCGTCGCGTCTCCCGGTGGGACACACACAGGTAGCCAGTGTAGAGCCCAGGTCGCAGCAGCCTCACCTGCCCGGGTGGCTGAGGGTCCTGGGGGCCGGCCGCAGGCCCTGGCCGGACCGAGCACCTCGCCCAGACAGCTCCCTGGAGCCCTGCAGCTTCTGGGTTTTCTGGCACACCCCCTCCCCACCCCTTTTCTGCTGATCCCTCCTTTCTTGGCTCCTGGGACAATAAGCCCACAGGATCCAGCTGCAGTCAACACTGCCCAACAGTCTCTAGCCATGATGCATGTAGACATTCGCATGTAATCAAATGCACAGAGGCATTACATACATATGATCGTGTGTCACCCCTACTAGCGTTGGGGGGTCATCTTTCGTGTCCATAGTAGCCTCCTGGGAAAAAATCAACCTCTGGCAATAACGTCATGATTGAGTAGACCGTTAAACTTGTGAGAACTCTGAAGGTACTAACCTTCGCACCTCCCCACTGCCATCCAGTCGGTGGTCTCACTTCTCTCCACACTTGCCACTGTCTCCAAGCCACACAGCTTTCTTCTGCCTGGGTTACTGCACGCCTCCATACGGATCTGTGTTCTGACTGGTCCAGGCTCTCACTGGCCTCCTCGCACAGGTGGTGCCATCTCTGTATGAACCCCTGCCTGCCCTGTCCTGGGAGGCGTGTGGGCCTCAGGGCTCCCACACAGCACGCTGCACATCTCGGGCAGATCCTCTCTTCCCCTTGGATGGCCCTGCCCACCGATGTGTTGGTTGAATAGCTCCATCACTTGGGGCCTCATCTTCAGTGTCACCTCCTCCAGGCAGCCCAGTTTGGCCCTCTGTAACAGTTTGGGCCTCCACTTGCTTGGTCATCCGTGATCAGCTCCCTGTGGCCAGCTCACTGGCCTCATTCTAGGTCTGCCTGTTTACTGCTTCTCCTTGAAATGCCAGCTTTTGTCTAACTGATGGCCAAGTTTTCCAGACTGTCTTTCTACCTTGTGATTCTCTTTTCAGGTTTTTTGGGTTTTTTTTCTACCTGACTTCCCAAATTGTAACACAGATTCTAAAACCTCTGCCTCCACCCTAGTTCTCTCTCCTGGGTTTTTCAGCTGCCTTTGGACCTTTCTCCTTGGATATCCACGTGCAGCATTTCTAAAACTAAGGTGTCTGCCTTGTTTATCCCTTCCCTAGCCCGGTTCCGTGGCGTCACTCCCATGGAATAGCCAGATAGATAACCTCGCGAGGGCTGGTCTTCCCTCACCTTCCTGTCAGAGCGTTAGGGGGTCCTGGCGTCTGGCCTTCTTGACCATTCCCAGTGCCACCCTCTACTCCTGGTCTTTTCTTAGTGGCAGGGACAACATTAACCACCCTCTCTCACTTCTGAGCCACTCACTGCTTCAGTAACCAAGAACATCTCCTTTGGGCAAAGGATTAGCTAGGTGCAAAGTGGACAGAGTTCTCTGACCTCTGGCACTTCTTCAGGTGAGGCATGCTGAACAACTGCACAGTTTGCCTTGGAAACCACGGTAGGGGGATGTTGCTGAGATGGAGTGCTGGCATGTTGGAAGGAGTTCCTGGACACTTAAGTTTGAGAAACCTGGAAAACACCCATATTGTTCCTAGAATTAATACATCTGATTCTGGCTTGTATTTGTGTTTTTAAGACTGGGTGTTCTGGTGTCAAACTGCCCTGATTTAAATCCAGACTTGGTGTTTACTAGGTGTGGACTGTGGGCAATTTACTTAACCCCTGATCATTCTTAGCTCCCTTGCGTGTGAAATGGTCACCATGATAGTGTCTGCCTCCTTGTTGGGCGAGAGGAGGATTATACATGATGGTGTGTGGAAGGCGCTTTAGTGTCTTGCACACAGAAGTGACCTCTAAGTTTGAGCTATTGTTAGTTTCACTATTCTAGTGGCTTCTATTACCTGCATGACCCAGAACGCTTTGTAATTGGTGAGGGCCATCTTTCCCACGCTCCCCTGGCCTCTCTCTCCACACACTGCACTTCCATGTTCGCAAACTGGCCTGCTGGGGAGGCCCTCCCCCAACCCCGGGTCTCCCCACCTCCACACTCTGGTGGAATCCAGCCCCTTGGCAGATTTCCCTGAGGCTGGCCTTCCACCCTTTTCTGTCCTCTGACCGCTGACCTTTATTATCCCCTAAAGGAGAACCAGGTATGGAACAAGCTGTTGGGTTGGCTTGGGGCGTGGGAGGGTGTGGCAGAGCCTGGGGCTGCAGGCAGGTGGCAGAGAGTGGGGAGGGTGTGCTCACCAAGGAGTGGGGAACCCTCTGGCACAGCTCCCGGATGCGTCTGGAGCTACCATGTTTGAAAACCTAAAACTTAAAACAAGGAGGAGGCAAGAGGCTTTGGAGCAACCAAGGTTTGTGCATTAAATTATTTCCTTGTGCTCAGCAGACAGGTCACTGTCAGTGACATTTGTATCAGATTCTTCTCAATTCTGAGAGACTGCTGGGATGATGAGTTCTGGATTAGGATCCAGGAAGCCCGGTGGCTCTAGAACCACGTGTGATCTGGTCTTGTGAGTCCCCAGGGGCTGTGGAGGTGCCGCCACCTCCCGTGCTCACCAGGTGGACTGTCTTCATCTCTGCTTTGGTGAGGGCACCCCGGGCCGGCCTGAGGGTGTCAGGTGAGGTCATGCTGTAGGCCAGTCGCGAGCCTCCTTGGAGAGAGGGAGACAGCGAAGAGACTGTGCGGCACTCATGGAGCTGGGGCGGCTTGAGGGAGGGATGTGCATGCTTGCAGCTGACGCTGATGTACAGCAGTTACCGCTGATGAAAGATAAACTGCTTGGGTCTGAGCGGATAATGCGGGCAGGGGCATGCCTGGATGCAGACTGCCGGGTGCTGGAGAAAGGCTCAGCTGGCTGGACGCTCCCTCAGTGGGGCTGCTCCTGGAGAACCTCTGGCCTCTCCCGGTCCTCTTGGTTTCCCTTGCACCGGGCTCGTATGCCCCAGTTATTGCAACACCTGAGCCGTCTGCTGGCACCCACCCCAGACAGGAGCTGGTGGCTGGATGTATTCACTACTGCGTTCCCAGGACAGGAGCCATGCTGATGAGTGCATGATGTCGGGGGACGTGCAGCCCGTGGGTCTGTGTTGGAGCTGGGTCGGGTGCGGTGATCCACAGCCTCTTAGGGCTGCACAGTGGGCGGTGCCGGTGGAGACCGCACGGCTGTGCTGGCAGAGCAGGTCTGTGAGCCTGTAAAGTGCGCGGCACTGGTCCAAGTGTTGCCACTGCGTTCCTGAACTCAGATCTGCAGGGTTAGTCCCCACCTTCCGCGGGCCCTGAGCAAACCAAGGGCCTCCCGTTCTCCAGGAGCCTCCGCACCTGCTGCGCTCTCTGCCCTTCCCGGAGCCTGCCTGGCTTCCCGACCCACAATTTCTTAGTTCTTCTCCGCTCATCTGTTGCCAGTGGCAGAGTCTCAGCTGGGCACGCAGGGTGGGTCAGGATTGGTGGCCCTTGTCTCCTCCCCTGAATTATGGGTGCCTGCAGCAGGCCCCAGTTCCCAGTTGTGGGGAGAGGCGGAGGCTCTTTCCTTCCTGGGATTGTGCCGTCACATGGAGCAGTTCTGGTTTTTGTTGTCTTCCCAGAAGCTAGCACAGGCCTCTGCAGGGGTTTCTTGTCTTTGTGTGTGTGTGTCTGGGGGGGTCCTTTTGTTTATTGATCTCTTGATTACTCCAGAGAGGATTCAAGAAGGGAGGGGGCTTCAGCGTCACCCACCCTCCTAGTTGGCAGGAGCCTCAGAGCGTGTGCAGTGAGGCAGGGTCACTGCATCCAAGGAAGCTCTGAATGAGAGGCCGGAACTCTGTGTCCCCAGCCTTTCACAGTCAGAGTCATAGGGCAATAGCTGGTTTCCTAAGCTTGAGTGAGCAAGCCGCGTCCACACAGATTGTGCAAAAGGGTTCAGGATTTCTCCTTTCGTAACAGTGACCTGGGCTTTGTCCCCTCTGCCTGCTCCCCCAGTGGGTCACAGGTCATCACCATTAGGCTGCCTGGAACGGCCTAACTAGAGCTGGTCACCCAGTGACCAGCAGCTGCTTGGCACCCTGCCGTTTGCATTTTGTCTCCGGGCACAGCCTGGGGGAGGTGGGTATAACTTTGACAAGGCCAGAGCCCGTCTTAGCCTCATGGGGGCGAGTCCAGACAGGCAGGGAGGGGGCCGTGGGCTGAGGAGCATCTGTGCGAGTTTCAGCAGCCAGGAGGGCAAGGGGTGACCTCATGGTCCTGCTTGCAGGCTGTGGGGTCACGCGGTCCTGTCTTCTGCAAGGGTGTGTATCTCCCACGGAGGATGTGGGTTAGGACGTGATTGCGCAAAGTGCTCAGCAAAGCGCGCAGCTGACAGAAAGGACCAGTAGATGATTGAGCTGAACTCTCTTGTCAATAATACAGGTGCAGCATTTGTCAACTTGATACCTTTATTTTCCAGGGCTTGAAGATTCTGGAAGTCTCCTGGGGTGCAGATCCCTGTGCTAGTCACAAGATGAGCAACCAGCAGGCATGAGAGGCTGAGGCCAGGCCTGGTCTAGACTGTGTGTGTTTCTCTGTAGGTTGGCACCGAGGATCACCATGAGTACGGTGAGTTTTACAAGTTCGTGGATTCCGTTTTTTAAGGCTAAAAAACTACTTCATTCCTTGTGTATCTCAATTATGAGAGTACCATAAAGGTGCTTCTGAGTAACCCACATTCCTGAAAGAGTGTGTATAGGACCTTTCAGTAGTTACAGCAACCTGCTTGCCTTTGGTCAGAGTTTCCAGTGTTTTGGTTGATGCCCTAAAGACAGAAGGCCGAGAAGGATGGCCAAGGGTTTGAAATTTTACGCATTCAGAGCAGCTGCCAGCATCCTGGAAATATTAGGGCTCTGGTTTATTTAATTATTTGCAGCCCAGTGTTCCGTTTTCCCTTCTGTTTCTTTCCCCTGTGTGGTGCTTGATCTGACGCCGGCATCGGCGGTGATCATAACCCTGGGTGAGTTCCCTCAGGCTCAGTGGCCAGAGTTGGTCACTGTAACTGCCGTTTTAGACGGCAGAGGTAGCTCTGGTTTGTTGTAACCCAGATGTCACCGGGAGCCCCTTGAGTCCAGAAAGTGCTTGACGGTCCCCCTCCCCGCTTTACTGCCTACTAACGATGCTGCGCATGTGATCTAAACTCAGAACAGCTGTTTTCTGAAACGGAGCATTCCCAGCCGGTGGACCAGCTGTGACACTCATCCTTTCTCCAGGTTCTAGAGGTTTTGGGGTTGCAGGGGGTAGGATAAGGCTGACCAGTCAGCTCCTGGGGTGAAGAGTGGTAGAAATCCTATAGATTTTGTTCTGGCCCAGCTCCTTCCCCTTGGTCCATCACCTCTGACCACTGCAGTCCCCACTGTATTCCAGGCCCCTGGACCTGCCCTTTAAAGGCCAGGTGATCTCCCACCTCAGTCCCTTATCTGCAGGGAAGCCTCCTAAACCTGGGCACCTCCCCTCGGAAGCCACACTCTGAACAGAAAGAGCAGTGTGGCCCCTTGTGAGAGGCCGTGGAGAAGCTGGTTAGACTGTCCTCGGGGCAGTGTGAATGAGGTCGGTTTTAACCCGGCTGCAGCCCCCTGAGGGCTCTGCTGGTGAGCGGCAGGAGGGCAGGACGAGAATCACGGGCGGGCGGGGGCAGAGCCGTCCTCAGACTCTGGGCTGTCGGAGCCTGGCCGCTGGGGCGCGCGCGGGTGGAGCGGAAAAGGAGTAGAAGCACAGGGGGCTTCTGGGGGAGGGGGACGGGGGCACGAGCTGCTCAGCAGAGGGGCTTGAGGGAGGTCCCCGTGGTGGAGCCGCCAGTCGGGGAGGTCCCTCAAAGCTGTGTGAGAGCTGGTTCAGTGAAGAGGGAAGGGGCGGGCGGTCCAGGCAGAGAGAGGCTGAAAGAGGAGAGGACTGTTGTTGGGTTGAGGTGCGGGTTAGCAGGACACATTGCTGTGGTGACAGGACAGGGTTTTTAGGGTTCCGCACCCAGACTGTGGCCAGGATCCATGACTGCTGCTTCCTGCCTGGGAGAAGCCGCACAGCGGGGGCTGAAGGGTTCTGTTCAGCAGTGTCTGCTGAGAAAGACTTGGGCCTTTTCCAAGGAAGGACGCTATCAGGACAACTTCAAAGAGTGGGGTAGAGCCTTAGATAATCTGGTAGCTGCTGGGGAAACTTAGAAACACCAGGCAGTAGCCTCACCTCTGGCCTGAGGGACGGAGCGGCTCCCTGCTGCGGAGTTCAGCATGCTGCTGCCCCTGGCCTCCAGGCCCCCAGGGGCTGGGAGGCAGCTCCTCGGGCAGCCATTGGGTGAGAGCAGTGGTCGGAACACGGAGAGAAGCCGGCTTCTCTTGCCAGCGAGGACTGGGCTGGGTGAGGGGTACTCCTCAGTCTTGTGTAGATCCCGAGGACGCTTGCCTGTCCTGCCAGCGTGTCCAAGGTTAGGATGCCTGGTGAGGCACGATAGTGTAGTAATGGCATCTTCAGCCAGCGCTCCGTACTGTGCATATGCCTCATCCTTAGGAGAGCTCTGTGAGGCTGGTACTGGTGAGGAGGTGTAGACTTGGTAGGTAGTGACTGCCCGTATCGCCCATTGTGGACAGAGTGGGCCCAGTACCACTGAGGAGCGGGACAAGGCAGGGAGGAGCGCTGAAACGGAGCTGGGGTTGGTCGGGGCCGCACAGGGCGCGGTAACAAAGCTACGTCAGGTGGAGGCTTCGCCTCTGGAGGAAGACCACAGTGGGCAGGCCAGACGTGCTGGAGTGCGTTGGTACCCGGCTGGAGGACTCGGAAGCCTGACTTGGGGTCTGAGCTGCAGACATGCTGATGAACAGTCTAACCTTCCAGAGGCGTGTCTCTCTGGAAGCCCCTAGGAACTAAAACTGGTTCTTGTAGAGCATAAAGAGCTCTACTCCGTACTCTGTAATGGCCTATGTGGGGAAAGAATCTTAAAAAAAAAAAGATACACATATAAGTGATTCACTTTATTGTACAGCAGAAATTAACACAACGCTGTAAGTCAACTATACTCCAATAAAAAATGTTTTTAGATTCTCATTGCAAGAAAAAATAAAAACTTTGGTTCTTGGAGCTGTGGGGAGTGGTTATTAGGGTGTAAACTACAACTTGATAGTATTCTAAAAATTTAGAGGCCAGAACCCTTTCCCAAAAAAAGACCTGCTTTTCACAGGGAATAGAAATTTGGGAAACTGAAGGTCTTGGGCTGAAAGACAGAAAGTGCTCAGGGGGGTCAAATACAAATCCAAGGGAAATAGGTCTGTAACTTTTGGTTAGAAGAAGGGGTTTCTGGTCTAATTCAAACCTGGACCAGAGGCCTCCATAGAGTTATATGTCACGTACTTTTGATGGACTAACAGCTGTATAACAGAAGTTTTTTTATTTTCCTAACTGAAATCTTACTGGTCAGAAGCTATTTAACTGTTTCTTTTCCCCTGGAAACCCTCAGAGAAAGCGTCGTGGTGGGACAGTAAATTCTAGACAAGCCCAGAAGCGAACTCGGGAAACCACCTCCCCACCTGAGATGGCCTTGGAGGCAGAACCTATAGAGCTCGTGGAAAGCGGTAAGATTGCCAGCGACCCTGGGCATCAGTTGGCAGCCAACCGGCCTGGTGCAGGCTACACAACCTGTGGGCCTCAGTTTCCTCATCTGAAACAGGGGTTAAGGGGTGTGTGTGTGTGTGTATATGAGGATAATGGAGTGTGTGTGTGTGTGAGGATAATGGCATGTGTGTTTATGAGGATAATAGCATATGTACACACATGGATAATGGTGTGTGTATGTATGAGGATAATGGCATGTGTGTGCGTGCAGATAAAGGCATATATGTATGAGGATAATGTGTGTGTGTATAGGAGGGTAATGGCATGTGTGTATATATGGGGATAATGGTGTGTGTGTGTGTATAGGAGGATAATGGCATGTGTGCGTGTGGATCATGGTGTGTGAGAGGATAATTGTGCACGTGGATGATGTGTGTGCATGCGGATAATGAATGGCATGTGTGTATATAAGGATAATGGCGTGTCTGTATGTGAGGATCATGACTTGTGTGCAGATCATGGCGTGTGTGAACACATGAATAATGGGGCGGGTGTGTGTGTGCGCGCGCGGATCATGGTGTGTGAACACATGAATAATGGGGCGGCTGTGTGTGTGTGTGGATCATGGCGTGTGTTAACACATGAATAATGGGGCGGCTGTGTGTGTGTGGATCATGGCGTGTGTGCAGTAGCTCTGTAGAGCTCTTCTGGCTCTGAAATGCGTCCGTGACATGGAACACTTGGAACTGTGCTTGGCAGATGGCACTGTACAAGGTTCCGCTCAGTCACTGTGTTCGTGAGACCTACGGTGTCAGACTCCGCGGTCACAGCTGAGAGCCGGAGGGAGGCAGAGCTGCCCCGGGCCTGACCAGCCACCCTGTGAGGCTGCACAGTGTGGGTGTGGACACTGCTGGGCCCACCTTTTCTCTTTGAAGTTGTGTCTCAAATTACTTGGCCTCGGGAAGTACTCAGGTTTCTTCTCTCCTTCATTAGGACAAACGGTTGCCCCAGAAGGCAGACCTATGTACAGACCTTCCTGGGTTGGAGGCGTTTGGTGCGGGCAGAGGCAGGTTGACTTCTTCCCCTCCGCTTGCCCTCTCGGGAGGGGCGGACGGCCTGTGTCAGGTCCCTCTGCTCTGCACACAGTAAGGTTGCTTTTATAATTATAGGCATGAAAACTGACACTTGGAGAAAAGCGGATGGCCTGAGGCCATGTCATGGCTCTTCAGGGAGTGCAGCCCTCCGCGTTGTCTCTGTGGTCTCTGACCTCACTGCTGACAGACTTGTGCAGCCCTGGGCCACCCCGCTTCCCCTGCCCACCCCCCAGCAGGTGCACAGCCCACACGTGCTTCTCGAAGGGCTGAGACTCTCCAGCCTGGCTGAGGCCCGCTGCTCTCTGCTGTGGCATTTTCCGTCCTCGGTTAGCCCCACACCCACGTGCAGGACTCCGTGCACAAGCTACCCTTTGGCATATTTTTTATTGTTAGAACCCAAAATTGTGTTCACCAGAAAGAGAAACAGTTCTGTAAGTTATGATAGATCCATTATGGACCGTTCTTTAAAAAAAAAAAATCATTTTGTATAATTTACTTTGGAATCTTTGATGTATTATGGTTTTTATTCCTGTGAACTTTTTAATCCAAGAGAAGAAAAATTTGAATATGTTAAATGTATTACAAGTCACATTCCTCAAATATTAACTATTATTTCTAGAACTTCTTCCCTCCTGCTTTTTAATGTTACTAATAATAGAAACAGAGATGGTTATAAATCTTTCAGTTTATAGAAATGGAGGTTGTGCACTGCCAGACCTCAGTGCTGGTAACCGTTTGGCACACATCCTTCCCACTTGGCCCGTGCGTGGGTAGACATGCACTGTACTCTTGGGCTCAAAGGCAAGTTTCAGGACAGGCTCAACCTCTCTTGGCAAGTTGGGGTTTTGGGGGACCAATGAGTAAACCGTTGTGGCCCAACCAAGTTGTGAAGCGCTTGGCAGGCTAAATGGAGATTAAAGTGTAGCTGATGAAGAATACAGCCTGTGCCGTGCGGAGCACAGCCTGACCTGAGGTTGGGGGAGCGGAGCTTTCAGACAGACCCGCCCCAAAGCCCAAGCCCAGCGCACTCGGTCCCTTCCTGGCTGTGCACCCCCACCCACCCTGGGTGACCCGCTGCCTCCCCGCTGTGAATGAGCAGGGGTGGGGTGTGGAGGCCAGCAGTGGCAGCGTGACGCCACGGGGAGGGGGGGATGTTGGTTAAGCCGCGTGGTGGCGCTCAGAGCAGGACTCGGGGGTGGGCACTGCTCGCCCCTTCACTGCCGTGCCTTAGGAGTGTTAGTCTGGCATAGGCCGTGTCCTGTTACCACATTAATGAGACTGAGCGGTGTGCCTTCACTTTCCCTCTAAAACTTGTTAAAACGCTTTATTTTGAAGCGGGAGACGAAATAGTGGACCTCACCTGTGAATCTTTAGAGCCTGTGGTCGTCGACCTGACTCACAATGACTCTGTCGTGGTAAGTGGGGGAGCCTGAGCGTTGGTGCTCTTGGCAGTGGGCCCCTGGCTGGCACGTCCGAAGGCCTTGGTCACGGGTTACAGCACTCAAGGTGGAAAATGTTTCAGGAAAATCATTTCTTGTGACTTTATTGCTTTAATTAATCACAAGTGAGCCTCCTTTGCATAGCTGGGGAGAACTCTGAGGCTTGGTCTCTCTTTAGTCCCTGATTCCACCTTTAACACCAGCTGCATGACCTTGGGCAAGTTACTTAACCTCCTTCACTTGTCCACAAAATGAGGATAATGCCATCTGTGTCAGTAGGGTACTGTGAGGATTAGAAGAATCCTGTGTTTGAGTGCCTGGCACCCAACGCCAGGCACTGTAAAGCCCAGTAAACGTGAGTTTACACCCTCTTGGCTGGTGGGAATGGGGACGTTCGCTGAGCACTGCCGGGGGGTCTTGAGGACTGGAAGCCACTACCGTGGAGCAGGCAGGCCCCCTGCACTGCCCGCTGGTGCCCGGCAGTGCCATGGCTCCCAGATGGTGGAGCCTGGGAGCTGCTGCCCCACCCCCCCCCCCGCCCCAGGGTACCCTCCTGCCCCTGCATGGCCTCCAGGAAGGATACCTGCTTGGGGATGGGGAAGCCGCTCCTGCAGCCCAGCTCACCCAAGCAGGGTGCCTCCCCGGGTGGGGCTGGGAGTCTGCTCAGCCCGCCTGCGTCCTGAGGGCACCCTTGTGTCTCAGGATGCTGCTGATAGAGGGCACAGGTGTGCGGAGCGGGGGCAGACCTTGTGAGGGGGCAGTGGGGGTGGTGCTGCTGAGGACTGGTTTGCTGGGGCAGGCCGAGGTTGCTGGGAGCCAAGTCTCCCCTCGGTCTAGGGGCCCATGGTCTTGGGGCTATCCTGGCTGTGCTTAGAACCTCAGGGTTACGCCGAGAAGCTTTGAGCCTTCAAAAGAAGCAAGAGTGTGAGGACAGGGAACTGACCTGATGAGATTTACACTCTGGGCCCAGTTTGAAACTGCTGGGCTATCTGGCTGTGTGTCCGTCCGTCACATTCTGCCCCCACCCCGCCAAAGGCCAGGCAGCTGCTCCTGCTGAGCCTGTCAGCTGTCCAGCGCCGGGGACACCGCTCCTGAGCAGGAGGCAGTCACTTCCCTGGAGATAACTCTCAGTGGCTTAGCTGTCAGTGGTCCCCGCTGGGCCTGTGAGTGTTTTCTAAGGCGCATACATCCAGCTCTGCTGCTATTCCTGGCAAGCTCCCTGAGGTTCTGAGAAGACAGTTGAGTCTGGCACCTGGGCTGAAGCCTGCAGCTCCGTTGCTGGTTAACACGTCAAAGTGCTGCCAGTCCTTCTTGCTCCCAGCACCTGGTGTCCACCTGTGGTGTGCCAGGCCCTGGGGAGATGGCCAGGATTCTGCCCGCACAGGGACGCTGATGGCTGCTGCTGAGTGACAAGCCAGCACCCTCATTCCCCTAGTTCGCCCTGGTTTTGTTTTGATGGTTGCTCTGCCTTCCCTGCGTGGGCTGCTTTTCTGAGTGCTCTAGGCTCCTCCTGTGTCCCTGGCTGTGGAGAGTCACTGGGAGACACTGGACAGGGAGGCTGGCACTGGGGGCTGTCCTGGGAGCGGGTGGGGAGCCTGGGCAGGTGGTTGGGTGGAGGGGAGACCGGCTTGAGAAGCAGGGGTTCCGGGTTCTGGTGGAGGATTCCCCTTCCTCTGGCCTCAGTGTTCCCAGAAAGAATAATTGGGATTTGATAGCATCCCTTTTAGTCTAATCGTTCTTCATCTTTTGTTGATAATTATTTTAACAAGTCCAAACGCCAGTTTTAAAATTTACAGTGAGAAGTATATCTAGGCTGAAATTCTCACTAAGCAGATCCACTTGGAATACCTAGTAATGTTACTGACACAAGACAAGGGGCCTCTATTAGAGGGGTTACAAGTTTACGGTTACCTCAGATGCCACATTCAGGGGAGTGAAATGATTGTGTTGTTTCCCAGATTGGGGTAATCTTACCAGCCCCCCAGAATCCAGGGGATAGACTAAGTGTACTACTTGGACCCTGTCCGGGAGTAGCTCGGCATCTTTACACCCCAGGACCATGGTAGAACTTTGGTGAACCCTCTTAAGACTGAAGGAGAAACTACAGACTGTTTCTCCAGGGTGTGTGTTCCCTCGGCGGTTGCCGGGCAGTGACCCCTGTCTTACAGAGAGGCCACTCCCACCCAGGCTCCCCCCCACTGCGCTTCTAGCCCATCTGGTGTTGCCGGGGTCCTCCCATGAGCTTTCTGTGTATTCTCCCTGTGACCATCGAGGTCCAGTACCTTTTCATGCTTAGTGGGGGCTTGTTTTCCTCTTTGGTGTGTTGCCTGTTGGGATTTTTTTTTTTTTTTAACTGAATCTTTGCTCATTTTTCCTTGTGACTGCCTGCCTTGTCTCATTTTTTTTTCCATTTATTTTTATTAGTTGAAGGCTAATTACTTTACATCATTGCAGTGGTTTTTGTCATACAGTGAAATCAATTAGCCATGGATTTACATGTATTCCCCATCCCGGTCCCCCCTCCCACCTCCCTCTCCACCCGATCCCTCTGGGTCTTCGCAGTGCACCAGGCCCGAGCACTTCATGCATCCAACCTGGGCTGGTGATCTGTTTCACCCTAGATAATACACGTTTCGATGCTGTTCTCTTGAAACATCCCACCCTCGCCTTCACCCACAGAGTCCACAAGTCTGTTCTATACATCTGAGTCTCTTTTTTCTGTTTTGCATATAGGGTTATTGCTACCATCTTTCTAAATTCCATATATATGTGTTAGTATACTGTAATGGTCTTTATCTTTCTGGTTTACTTCGCTCTGTATAATGGGCTCCAGTTTCATCCATCTCATTAGAACTGATTCAATGTCTGAGTAATATTCCGTGGTGTATATGTACCACAGCTTCCTTATCCATTCGTCTGCTGATGGGCATCTAGGTTGCTTCCATGTCCTGGCTATTATAAACAGTGCTGCGATGAACATTGGGGTGCACGTGTCTCTTTCAGATCTGGTTTCCTCGGTGTGTATGCCCAGAAGTGGGATTGCTGGGTCATATGGCAGTTCTATTTCCAGTTTTTTAAGGAATCTCCACACTGTTCTCCATAGCGGCTGTACTAGTTTTCATTCCCACCAACAGTGTAAGAGGGTTCCCTTTTCTCCACACCCTCTCCAGCATTTATTGCTTGTAGACTTTTGGATAGCAGCCATCCTGACTGGCGTGTAATGGTACCTCATTGTGGTTTTGATTTGCATTTCTCTGATAATGAGTGATGTTGAGCATCTTTTCATGTGTTTTTTTGCCATCTGTATGTCTTCCTTGGAGAAATGTCTGTTTAGTTCTTTGGCCCATTTTTTGATTGGGTCGTTTATTTTTCTGGAGTTGAGCTGGAGGAGTTGCTTGTATATTTTTGAGATTAATCCTTTGTCTGTTGCTTCATTTGCTATTATTTTCTCCCAATCTGAGGGCTGTCTTTTCGCCTTGCTTATAGTTTCCTTTGTTGTGCAAAAGCTTTTAAGTTTCATTAGGTCCCATTTGTTTATTTTTGCTTTTATTTCCAATATTCTGGGATGTGGGTCATAGAGGATCCTGCTGTGATATGTCGGAGAGTGTTTTGCCTATGTTCTCCTCTAGGAGTTTTATAGTTTCTGGTCTTACATTTAGATCTTTAATCCACTTTGAGTTTATTTTTGTGTATGGTGTTAGAAAGTGTTCTAGTTTCATTCTTTTACAGGTTGTTGACCAGTTTTACCAGCACCACTTGTTAAAGAGGTTGTCTTTTTTCCATTGTATATCCTTGCCTCCTTTGTCGAAGATAAGGTGACCATAGGTTCGTGGATTTATCTCTGGGCTTTCTATTCTGTTCCATTGATCTATATTTCTGTCTTTGTGCCAGTACCATACTGTCTTGATGACTGTGGCTTTGTAGTATAGTCTGAAGTCAGGCAGGTTGATTCCTCCAGTTCCATTCTTCTTTCTCAAGGTTACTTTGGCTATTCGAGGTTTTTTGTATTTCCATACAAATTGTGACATTATTTGTTCTAGTTCTGTGAAAAATACCGTTGGTAGCTTGATAGGGATTGCATTGAATCTATAGATTGCTTTGGGTAGTATAGCCATTTTGACAATATTGATTCTTCCAATCCATGAACACGGTATATTTCTCCATCTGTTTGTGTCCTCTTTGATTTCTTTCATCAGTGTTTTATAGTTTTCTATGTATAGGTCTTTTGTTTCTTTAGGTAGATATACTCCTAAGTATTTAATTCTTTTTGTTGCAATGGTGAATGGTATTGTTTCCTTAACTTCTCTTTCTGTTTTCTCATTGTTAGTGTATAGGAATGCAAGAGATTTCTGTGTGTCAGTTTTATATCCTGCAACTTTACTGTATTCGTTGATTAGCTCTAGTAATTTTCTGGTAGAGTCTTTAGGGTTTTCTATGTAGAGGATCATGTCATCTGCAAACAGAGAGAGTTTCACTTCTTCTTTTCCTATCTGGATTCCTTTTACTTCTTTTTCTGCCCTGATTGCTGTGGCCAACACTTCCAAAACTATGTTGAATAGTAGTGGTGAGAGTGGGCACCCTTGTCTTGTTCCTGATTTCAGGGGAAATGCTTTCAACTTTTCACCATTGAGGGTGATGCTTGCTGTGGGGGTTTGTCATATATAGCTTTTATTATGTTGAGGTATGTTCCTTCTATTCCTGCTTTCTGGAGAGTTTTAATCATAAATGGATGTTGAATTTTGTCAAAGGCTTTTTCTGCATCTATTGAGATAATCATATGGTTTTTATCTTTCAATTTGTTAATGTGGTGTATTACATTGATTGATTTGCGGATATTAAAGAATCCTTGCATTCCTGGGATAAAGCCCACTTGGTCATGGTGTATGATTTTTTTAATATGTTGTTGGATTCTGTTTGCTAGAATTTTGTTAAGGATTTTTGCATCTATGTTCATCAGTGATATTGGCATGTAGTTTTCTT